TTTTTTTTTTCTTATAAACAGTAAATAAGTTTGCGGTACTTTCACTCAGTTATTTTCATCTTTTTCCGCGTTCGTTAAATAGCATACGCTTGGAAGGGAGAAGACGTTATTTGTTGATGTTTGGTCGTGAAAGCAATCAGCTGTTTAGAATTGGCCGCATGTCAGACCCAGTTTTTTGTTTTCATCTTTGCGCTCAAGTCGTTGACTATTTTTCTGTTTCTTTTGGTTGCCTAGTGAAGCCAATTCGTCGGTCTCCAATAGTCTCTGCACCTCTCTCTGTGTTGCATTTTTATGCACATCATCTTTCCAGTTCGGTTTGAGGAACGTGTTTCGAATAGACTGCGCGCAACCAACACGGCGGTTTCATTTCTACATGCATTTTTTGGGTTACAGAGCTTTTTAAGCTGTTTTTTTTTCCTTTTTTTCTTTAGATTTTTCGCTAAGAAGAACTTATTCATATTTGTATATTTTTACTTGTATTTTTGCTTCTGGTGCCACTGTTGCGTATGTTTTTGTTTTTGTTGTTGTTATAGTTGTTGTTGTTACGACCGCTACTGACGAGGGCGACTTTAAAGCGTGAATGAGCCGAAGAAATTGTGTAGACTAGGGAGGTTGACGAAAGAGACAAGGGGAAGGGTGAGGTTTACTCTGGTCCTGCTTTTCGTTCTGTATTATCATTCTATTTTTTGCGTTTTCCTTTTTTCTCATTTTTAAGAGTATAATTAGTTGGCGCACTTTGTTGTGGCATTGATCGAGTGTCGTTAGGGTGAAATCAGATTTTTAAAGCATTTTACAGGATACTCTTGTCAACTGCAACTGCGCACGTCAGCTGTGCTGTTACCTTTATTTTTACTGTTATTTCTTTCTTACTTGTCTTTTCTTCGTTTCTCTCTCCTTTTTTTTTTCTTTCGTGGCCGTGATCTGGTAATAGCGTGCAAAGACGACACCACCAAAGTCACTGCAACTACCAGTACCACCACTAGCAACCCGTTCACAAAAATAATGGAAGAGACGTTATCTAAAGCAATAGGGAAAGCAAAAGCAACGTGTGATGGGCTGTCTGCTATTCTGTTTTGAGAGGGCGACTTAAAAACGGTTTTTTTTCGTTCATACTGGAGGATTTGATTTTTTGGGCAGTCAACAAGTTCAGGGAGAGAAGTCGAAGTATCAAAACGAAGGCTTTTAGAATTTGAAGTGCTCATGTATTGTTATGAATTTTTCATCGTTGTAGCAGGATAAATCCTGTCGAAAAATTTCTTAATTATCTATTTGACATCCTCAGTTCTCAATTACTTAATTGTCACGAATCTGTATATTTAAAAGCTTCACTTTTTTTGATTGAATTTTAGAGGTTTCACAGATTGAGGTTATAGTTAAAGTGTTTTATACGTGGTTACTTCTACGCGGCTTTTTTTTTTCTTTTTTTTTTCTTTTTCTTTGCAGCACCATGTTTTAATGGAGTTTCCTTTTTTTTTTCAGATTTATAATGGTCTTTCGATTTTTTTTTCGTATTGATGGTTTGTAACTAATTAGCGATAAACTAGAGGGTAGGCAGTAGGTAAGTATATCGATATTTGCGTAGTCATTTGCCTCTCTTATTCATTCGTTATCATACGTTTTTCAAGACATTATGTGCCACTCATACGAAATTGTTTGGCAGATTTACAACTGCTGGGTGGTTGTTCGTCACAGTTATAATTAGGCGATTTTTATTCAATTTTGGAAGCTGACTCTTAGCTTTGAGCAAGATTACTTTAATTGGTCATTTATACGTTAGTAAACTGGTTCTCTTTAATAGTGTTAAGTAGCAGATAGGGAAATAGTGGCAGCTGGGGAGGAAGGGTGGCTTTCTTATTTGCAATTGTTTAATAAGGTGAACAGGAAGATTTCATGAGTGTAACGTAATGGCACTTTCCTCTTACTACATTTTGATATTTATTGCTGCGGTTCATGGGACTGGGACAGGTAAAAGCTTGCAAGAGTTTAATTGCTTATTAATTTTCCTTCTATGCTTGATTTACGTTTTCTTTCTTCATTGTTACTTTGAGGTTGTACGATGATGATAGGAGAAGCTTAACAAATATGTTTTAAATCTTCGCTAGTGGGAACGAAAGTGTATCTTCGGTAACGAAGCTTTATGTAGTCTGACGATAAGCAAATGAGCTTTGTTATTCTGATACTGTAACCTTTTTCTCCTCATTGTGAAATTGCTGTGATATATTAGTTAAATTTTTTGAACATTTTTGGTGGTTTTTGCCAGTTGGTTCGCGACATAAGAGGATACTTTCACTTTCAATTTTCTTTTTATACTTTTTAGCGGTTGTTCAGTGTTTTACAGCTAGGGTAGTTTGCAGAGTGAGGACGTAGCAGTCGCCGTCTCAAATATTGACACTGTGGAGCGCTGTGCGTCAAATCCGGAGGCTGTCGCCAGCGAGGAAGGCCCTCCGGTTAAAAAGGCGAGGTTGGCTTTTTGCTCCTGATACAGATTTATTTATTAATTTTTTAAAGTGGCTAGACCTACGATGTACGTTAAATTATGTTTTTTTCCAATTGGAGCTCAACTGAATCATTTTTTAGAATGCAGGCGGGTCTGCAACAAGTTAATCCAAA